AAAAAAAAAAAAAAAAAAAATATTAGTCATCTCTTGTTTCAAGCAAAACATGTTCGTTAAATAAACAGCCTAGTTTTTATAATTAAATTCAAATTAAATAAAAACTAATATTCCAATATCAAGTCTTTTAGTATTAGTACTATACTAATATATACAAGCCTTCACACTCTTTAACTTTTGCCTTAATTTCGAGAGTCCCACTTCACATATATTATAAACTAATGAGATCTAGTACCTGCTCTTGGCACCTCTGAGAGCCCTGATTGTCGATGTCATCTTCCATCACGGTAGTAGTGACAGTGAACCTGTTGGCACTTGCAACGGCTACCAAGCACAGGAGGAGAGCTGCAACAACGGACAGTTTCGCCATGGCAGTAGTGAGATATCGATCGATGTGTTTAACTTTTTTTGTGATAGAGAATGTGAATTGCTAGTGCTTGTGACGGTGAAGTACTCGGTTGTAGGGGTATTTATAGCGCAGTAGATGGTTTGCATGGAAAGTACGTGTTGAATGTCACTGCTAAGGCAGATAGATGCATTTTGCATGAGAGGAAGACGTGGGCAGCACCAACCATACGCTTCGCCACGTTTATAATTACATGCAAATGCTACCGGAAAGAGCACTTTGTTTGAATACAGAAAGCAAATTAATGCTCATTCTGATTCTTTTGCAGTCTGTGTAGCCATCTTTGGCTTTGGCTTCTTCTGTGAGGAGACAGTGACTAGACTTGGTTTATTAAAGATCACCCATCAGTAAGTAATTGTCACATGTAGGATAGTATGCAAAAATTATACTGCTAATGATATTCTATTTCAAATGGCCAAATTAGATGATTTATAATTGATCTCTATCCCAATATCATTATTAGATCTCATCCCTTATTAAATCAAATGACGAGATTCTTTATCTAAAAAGGGGGGAAATAATCAAAAAATAATCAAATTTGTCCATGTACTATTCAAAATTGAGTAACTTTTGTTTGTTCTTGTACTCCTACTAGCTATTTAAAGTTGAGCAACTTTAACTTCATCTCCATTAAAAGAAATCTCAAAGAATTTAGACACATGGATCCACTCATTTTACGCCAGAGCTCCCTTAATGACAAGGGCAAATACGTCATGATTCGCTAACAACGAGGATATGAATTAGGGAGAACGGCACAAATAGCCACTAAAAGCAGTGGCTTTTATTTTAAAGCCACTGTTTTCAATATATTTAGACTTTAGCCACTCCTTTAAAAAATTTATACCTAACTGGACGAAAATACCCTTTTGGTATAACTTATACCTACGCTATCAACACAAGCAGCAGTTACACAAAGAGAAGAATCGAGTAGCAGCAGCAGTTACCACAACGGCGATCAACTGAGGACGAATCACCATTTCTCTTCCCGATTTCAAAAATTCAGCATTCTAATCCAAAAAAACGTCATAGATAAACAGTAAGTTGTAATTTCATGTGTTTCTATCGATTTTTATTTCGCTATAATTATACCTTTTTAGATCTGTATTGATTTGATTATATATTAGATAAGAATTTGATTTTTTTTTGAATTTCTGGATTGATAAATTTATAGACATTGCCTCCTATGATAATTCTGTATTCCGGACATAGTGTCTTCATTTTGGAAATTGAATTCAAAAAAATAAGAACACTATGTCCTTAACTTTGATTCTACTGGCCTCATTTTACAAATTGAATAAAAAAACTTAAGGACAAAATGTCCTTCACTTTGTTGCTGTTATTCTGTATACAAAGTCCTGTAGCTTGAGTTTCAAATTGTATATTTTAATTTCTGGTTCAAATGTTAAGGACTAACAGTCCTTAACTTTTAAATACATGTTTAAATGTTAAGGACTAGCAGTCCTTAACTTTTAATTCCATGTTTAAATGTGAAAGGACAGGCAGTCCTTAGCTTTTAATTTCTGGTTCAAAAGTTAAGGACTGACAGTCCTTCACTTTTAATTCCATGTTTAAATGTTAAGGACTGACAGTCCTTAACTTTAATTACATGTTTAAATGTTAAAGGACAGGCAGTCCTTAACTTTTAATTTCTGGTCCAAAAGTTAAGGACTGACAGTCCTTAACTTTTAATCCATGTTTAAAACTTAAGGACTGGCAGTCCTTAACTTTAATTACATGTTTAAATGTTAAAGGACAGGCAGTCCTTAACTTTTAATTTCTGGTCCAAAAGTTAAGGACTGACAGTCCTTAACTTTTAATCCATGTTTAAAACTTAAGGACTGGCAGTCCTTAACTTTAATTACATGTTTAAATGTTAAAGGACAGGCAGTCCTTAACTTTTAATTTCTGGTCCAAAAGTTAAGGACTGACAGTCCTTAACTTTTAATCCATGTTTAAAACTTAAGGACTGGCAGTCCTTAACTTTAATTATATGTTTAAATGTTAAAGTACAGGCAGTCATTAGCTTTTAATTTCTGGTTCAAAAGTTAAGTACTGGAAGTCCTTAACTTTTAATTCCATGTTTAAATGTTAAGGACATGCAGTCCTTATCTTGGTCTTGCACTTACAGTACACCTGTTCTTAATTCTACAAAGATTGCTTTATATCGTATGTCCTTTGTTTCCCATTCTCTTGACTTGTAGGATGGAAAAAATATGCATAATAGTTGCTTTTAATGGTAGATGGACTGAAGACTATAAATATTTTGATCATCAAACAAAGCTTTTCCTAGCACCTGAGTCAATTCAGTTAGAAGATTTCGTTAAACAGATTTTTGAGCTTATTGAATTGGATAGAGAAAAGTTTAAAATAGTGATATGGTTTGATATAAACCTTGGAACAAGCAAAGAATGCTTGTATCCAAAGATTTAGATCTTCACACATGTATAGAGTTGCTAAAAACTCATTCATTCTTCAAGAGCTGTCGTTTCATAGTTGATATTTCGGAAAGAGTTTTTGCATCAACAAGCAATGAACATGCCAACACAAAAACTCAACATGACAATCAAGAGCGATGCCAACAGATAGTTGAAGTAGATATGGTTGAAGCTCAACCATTAAATGAAGAGGTGCATCAAACATTTGATTCTATTCAAGTAGAAGGACAAAGCATTATAGAGATTGACAACGAACAAGCTTTGGGTATTCAAGTCTTAGAGAGTGCACCGGTAATCGAAGTAGTTGCTGACAAAACCTGCACTCAAATAACTAAACGAAGATCAAATTTGAAACAAAAAGAATCCCCAACTACGATATTAAGAGAAAATGCTTCTTTGGATCAAATAAAAGTCGGATCAGTATTTGACAAGAAGAAGAGCATAATTAATTGTTTTTCTAATGTAGCAATCAAAGGACATTTTGAATTCAAAGTTGTTAGATCAAGCTCAACAAGATATTCGTTGACATGCAATGATGATAGGTGTCGTTGGTGTATGCGTGCTTTCAGAATTAAAGACTCAACATTATTCAAGATAGTAAAGCTTGAGAAAAAGCATGACTGCTCTGTTAACACTAGGAAAGCAGATCAAAGGCATGCTACTTCAAAGTTGATTAGTGGTTACATTATCGATAATCTTCGGGACCCAAGATTTGAAGTTACACCAGCTTTTGTCATGGCAGAGATGCAAAAATTGCATGGACTAGACATTGGATATCACAAGGCGTGGCGTGCTATTCAACATGCTTCCGCTTTAATAAGAGGAAGTCCCGAAGAAAATTATGAATTATTGTGTTCATACTTGTATATGATGACAAGTAAGAACCCGGGAACTTATACTAACATAAAGATAGACGACAACACCAGGTAAATAATTTAGGACATGCTGTCTTTAGCCTTGTTAACTTTTGAGTTGTAACCAGAAGTTGAGGACTGCCTATCCTTAAGTTTTGAACTTGTAATTAAAAGTTAAAGACTTCCAGTCCTTATGTTTTGAACTTTAAAATAAAAGTTAAGGACAACATGTCCTTAACTTTATAACTTGTAAATGTTACTTAAGGACTGATTGTCCTAAACTTCAGGTATTTTAGCCTTGTTTTATATTGTATTTTCAGGTTTCTTTATATGTTTTACGCATATGGATCATCGATAGCTGGTTGGAATCATTGTAGAC